ATACACATTTTTTTAGAGGGTTTTTAAGATACAACAGCTCCACCGAATTTGAAGACATAAATCAAATAAGAATATTTCAATTAATTTATATCTATACCTTTATATCTAGGTAGATATACATTTATGTTAATTGATGTTTTGGTAGTGCTATTGTCGTCTTTATAAAAATTGTTAAAATTTTTCTCAACATACGTAAATGATATTATAGATTGGAACAATACCAACCCATTAAATGTCTTAGTAATTTTTATTTGTAGTACAACATCTAGAATATCTAAGTCTTTTATGTCAAACTTATTAGTTAATATTTTTTTTAGTAGACTTGACTATATGATTATTGTTATAAAAAATATATCATGCATATAGAAACATACAATGACATAACACTCACATATATAAATTTATCAACTTTGTTAATTTTAAACTCATTTGATAATCTAAACTTGTTTTTTTTTTTCATACAATTATCTAGGTACTTGTTTCAAATCATATAATGATTTGATGAACTTACAAACTTTTTTCCTTGTCCATTAACAATAAACTCTTTAAGTTGTTCCATTTAAATTTCTTCATCAAGGTCATCATTAAAAAAAGTTATTTTTACATTTATTGGATGTATTTTAAACTTGTTAATTATTGTGATGACTGTTAATGTACGAATGCATGTTATTCTTTATATATATGAATATACGTCAAAATAATATGCACCTGTCAAAATAATCTACACCTTCTTATTGTTTAAATCCATTAATAACAAGCTTTTCTTTGTATTTACCAATAGTTATATTAACGTTCATCTTTCTTTTAAAGATTTGCTTATATGCTAATAATTTATCTCCAAATTGAAGATTCACTTGCTCTGATACAACATTATATATAATTGACCCAATTTCACTATTAACTATCTTATTTTAATATGAAGCTTTAAAACAGGATATTGCCTCAGAGTAGGTCTAAGGTTCATTCTAACAAGTATGTTAGAAAATTATATCTAAATATTTTGGTTTTTTTTTCATTTTACTTCTTTTAGGCTCAACTTATAATATTTCTATTGATGATAACTATTTAGGATAGTTTCATTAATTCTTTGAAGTGAATAATTTTCTTTTAATTTATTAAATGGAAAACATTAAATAATGTAGCATTCTTGATTTTATTATAGTATTAGGATGAATGTTATCAATACTTGATTTGTGTAAAAGAAATCAACATGCACCACTATTGCAAGCATATCCTATAAAAATACAATTCATGATCTTAGGTTATATATTGATTTTTTTGGGATCAAATACCACTACTTTTGAAAAATAAACCCACATTTGAGGTAATTATAAAAAAGTTTTTTACCGTTTCTCAATTTGTATAAGATATTTTCTAACTTTTCATATGATACTTCAATATAAGAGATGCTGGAATCCTTCCGAATAAAATAGCATTTATCAAAGCAAAATCACTTGAGACAACCAAATCTTGATTTAAAGTCATGATAATTTCAAAAAAGAAATAACCAAATATTTATAACTAAAATATTAGTTTCTTAAATACAAGAAAGAAACAACAAATTTAAATATGTATAACAATCACATAACTAATCAAATTATCAAATAAAAATTTCATAACTAAGATAGTTGATTTAAATAATTTTTAATTGTTTAATTATTGAAAGTACATATTTAAAAAGCATCACATTAATATTATTTTAAATAAAGTGCATGATCATATAAGCTAGATTAAAAGTTTAATTTAAAATTAGAGTTGTAAACAACCTAAACAATTAAATTAGTTTACAAAGATTTAGATATATAATAAAGCTCTAAGATTGTTGCGTTTTAACTAAGTTTTGTTTTTATGCATGCAATTTATATAATCAATGTAAACTTGAAATTGAAATCAAAATAAAATACTAAAATGTATATTAATCATATATTGAATCTTGAAAAAAAGATAAAAACAAAATGGTAGCATGCGTATGAAACATACAAATGAATATTATACGTAACCTAAAACAGTATAAAGTACTTATTTGTTGAAACACTTGGAATATAATAAATTTAATATTTATTTTTGTCAAGAATCAATTCTTTATTTTTAAAACTTTATCACTTATTATTTAATGCAAACAAACATAATGCAATAAAGTTATTATAATTCCAATAACATTACTATTACTTTTAAAGGATGCATTTTCTTTAAAAGTCTACGAATCCAAGGAAGAAGAAAATTCAAAAACTCGTTACAAATAACTAGAACCTAAGGTTTATATCAAAGAGTAAAAAGGCAAGAAGGCAAGAAGGAAGGCAAAGCAAAACGAAACAAAAGGACAATATTAAAAATGCAGAGAATAAGGCTAAATGGCTATAATAAAATGTGTAGAACATCTCCTGTTCATCCCTTGTTTATACTATTTTTTGAACCAAAATTAATGGATAATTAATTATACTAATTAACATAATTAATTCTCCTTGTTTTGTATTAATTACTTATAAATAAATATTATTCATATAAATGAATATCATACTTAAACTAAAATAATATAAAGTATTTACTTGTTAAAGTATTCAAATCTGATAGAGCTAAAAATTTATAGTTATTAATAATTAATATTATATTCTTAAAGCTTTATTGCTCATTATTTACTGAATCAATCTTTCAAGATTTTAATAATATTATTTTTAAAGGATGGATTTCTTTTAAAAGCATATGAACCACAAAAAGAAGGGAACTCAAAAGCTATAACATTAACTCTATGCAAAAGAAAACCCCCTTTTGTATTCTTAGAGAACATATGATAAATATGTTTAATATCTACAATACTGTGTATTTTCAAGGTTTCTAGAATGATGACGAAAGCCCTCTGATTGACCGGGAAAAAAGAAGAAGCTAGCATATAGAAGAAGATGGGGTCATGCTTAACAAAACTTGATCCAGAAACAGAAAATAATTCAGCTCAGTACGAGATATAACCTACCAGTACCATACCTTTCCTTCAAAAATCAAACGTACTCAATTACTTACAATATAATCTAGTTATTTCATATAAACGGTATGTTATGCACACAATCCTAGTAATTTAAATCCTAGTAATTTAAGAGCAATGATTCATGCAGTTGAGCAGCTACGAGCCAAATGATCATGAGAATACGATGAAATGATATCGATGCTGAAATTTTCAAATGCTGAGGTAATTCCAGCAAACAAGTCAAAATATTCACAATCAGCTTTTGGTCAGAGCAAGTAATCCTACAAACATCAAAGAATAAGCTGAAACATGCATTTGGAAAGTAAAACTACATAGAATTCAAGAGATTCAGCTGACAAACATTCTGAACTCCTTTCTATCGGAAGCCAAAAAGACAACAGATACAGTTTGTGGAAGAAACAGTTGCCTTACTCAATGAAGTCCTTTAAAAAATATTCCAGGCCAACATGACAAAAATGATGAAACTATGTTAAACCCAGTTGCCTAAAAGTAATAGCAAGAATTCATTCAGTGAGATTATCAACAAAACTAATCTAACATGTCCATGAAGCTTTAGCAGACTTCAAATCTTATGGAACATGAGCTAGAGACTTTCAATGCCAGCCATAGCATTATAACGAAAACAATCCTTTAAAAAAAATACCAATGAATGAAGGACCACATCAACCATTCTTTTTGCTGATTTTTTTACTTGCATGAAGAGGATGACTGACAGAAAAGAATGGAGATCACTCTGTAAATGTTCAGAACAGATAAGGCATTGAAAAGCTAATTCTTTTTGGTGGCCGTCTACAAGTAGATGTTACTTGATATGGAAGCTCAAGGCTAAGACCTGCATCCTACATTATAGGTCCTCGTTGCATCACAACTAGTATTATTGCATTACAGTAGGCATCTCCAACTCTCTAGCATCCAAAAGGCAGCAGAGATCATCCTGTGGAACACCACAGCACTGAGTCTAGAATCAATGGCTAAATTCAAGCATAGATCCCAGTATATGTGATAAAACAGATGTCAAATGGCCTTCTAAATCTCAAAAAATCACGGAAAGTGAAATTCCCAGCAGCATAATACAGGAGAGAAAGAGACACAATATACCAGTTCAGGTCTCCTATTAAAACAAAGAATGTGAAATTCCCAGCACAATACAGGAGTGAAAGAGACTATATACCAGTTCAGGTCTCCTATTAAAAATCTTGTAATTTATGAATTCTATTTTCCCCGAATGAAGGTTCAATGTCATCTACACACTGTTTTACCATCTAGTAGAAAGGTTCAGTTTGATATGAACAACGTTTACTAATGCAAACATTTCAATTAAAAGACGCGATACAACCATTTCAATTAATGTCAAGACTGAAGAAGAGTGGCAAAGTACTAAAGATCCTATAACATTCCGGAAATTATTGCAAAGCATTTCAACAGTTCATCTCAAATGGTCTTGGAGATTAGAAGTAGCAAACATTAAAACACAGATGATGAATGGGGTGAATTGGGAAAGGCCCTTATCAAAAGAATTCCTCTGAATTTAACTTTCAGAAATCAAACCGGAAACCAGTCTATATCTTTGGAAACTTGAACTTTCCAATCAGCAAACACCCATCAGCTAGAGATAACTTGGTTCTGAAATAGCTCCTTAGAAATTTCAAAAAAAGGAAAGCTCAAGAAACAAGGTCACGTCATTAAACAAGCCACTTGCAGTTTATGAAGCTCCGATCATAAGATTAAGAGATTCTGCCTCCAGGCCACAGATAACTATGCAGAAACCAGAACCACATCTCAAGTTTCCTCTAAAGCCTATGCCCTATTGGTGTACTTTTGCTGAACTTTTTGAGCTGCAAGCCACATGTGGTTAATCTTGAGTCTGTATTTGCATAAATGGATGAGCAGATTTGTATTGATGGATTAATGAATACTCAAGGACCCCTGAATTTATGCTGGATTGTACATAAATTGGTTTCAATGAGATGTTTAATAGCATAATTTATTGAATATCAAGTTGCAAGAAAAATAGTCAACGAAGAAATTCAATGAACAATCAATTTATTTGAACATAGTACTTTCCAAACACAAATTTGCCTATCTTCATGGTTCTCTTAAACCACATTGTTTACTTTATAAGATGCTAAATATTCATTAAATATCTGAGCCAATAATATGAACATTATCATCATAGATAACAACATCAATTTGTTAAACATGCAGTAGAAATACATACACCTCATCTACCCTCCTCAGCCTCTGTTTCTTTTGGGTTCTGATGAGCCACATCATAAGTTGCATGGACACCAATCATCAGGTAGTACAATATCATCACTGCACTGCAAATAATGAACCTCAGGAACGCTTCATAATCCAATGATCCAAGTAGAAACACATTCATCGCAATTGACAATGACGGCAACCATGGGACAAGAGGAACACCCCAAACTTTAGGAACACGGTGCTTGTGCAGCAAAGAGATCCCCAAAGTACCTGAACACCAAATAACAGAAGCCACCGCATATCCAATCCACCCTCTCACACCTGAATTCCAAAGTGCAGCAACTCCAATTGAAGAACCAACAATAGTGAACAGGGACACAAAAAATGTAACTGAATCATTCTTTGATGTAACGTCTTTCACATAATATCGCCTCACAAGCAATGCAACAGCCAATAACATGAAAATAAGTAGCGTACAAATAGAAAATACACTCGATAACACATCCAAACTGGAGAAAAATGCTACAATAGCACTAAGAATAGTTGTTAGAAGAGTAGCATTGATAGGTGTTCCAGTTTTCGGATGAACCCGAGCAAACCAAGGAGGAATCATATGGGATCTCGCTATTTGAGTAGTGTATCTTCCTTGTCCAAGTGATCCAACCATTAAGCTTGTAGTCATTCCCTTGAGTGCACAAATACTCACTAAATACGTAGCCCAATTCATGCCAATTTGAGCAAAAGCAACCGAAAACGCAGCATTTGGATCAATCTCTGTATATTTGACCATCCCTGTCAATGCCATAGCCATCAAGCAATAAATCACAGTGATGATAGACATGGAACCAACCAAGCCAATTGGTATATCCCTTGATGGGTTCTTGGTCTCTTCAGCCATAGTAGCAACCATATCAAACCCAGTGTAGGCCCAATACACAACAGCTGCAGATACAAAAACACCCTCTGCCCCTTTCGGAAAATAGGGTACCAAATTTGAGCTCTTGAAATGAATAAACCCAACAACAATAATAAAAGCAATGATAAAAGCAGTAGCAATAGAGGCAATCCAATTCAAGAAAGAAGTCCTTTTTGTCCCACTCATTGCTATAGAATTTGCCACCAGGAGAACTACAACTGCTAATGGATCTAAAAGATTAAACCCATCAGCGAAAGAGTCAATTTTAATTCTCATAAAGTCAGGGTTTTTAGAATTAATCATGCTTGCAAAATATGAAGACCAAGACCTCCCTAACCCCGCAGCACCAATAACTGCCTCTAAAAGTATATTCCCAGCAGCAAGATATGCAATAAAATCACCTAACTCAACGCGAAGATAAGAGAAAGAACCTCCAGCAACAGGAATCTCAACAGCAAACTCAGTGTAACAAAAAACAGAAAGCAAAGCAGAAAACCCTGAAAGTGCATAAGAAAGCACAATAGCCGGACCTGCATTATCACGAGCTTCTTGTCCTGTAATAACAAAGATACCAGAGCCCACGACAGAGCCGAAGCTCATCCACATGAGGTCCCACCATGTGAGACATTTTTGCATAGGATTTTCACTCTCTCTTCGCAGAGTAACGAGCTCATGGGTATCAGTAGAACGAGAGAGAAGACGGTCTTTCAAACGAGGGCAGATCTGAGACAGTGCTGTCCTGTAAGAGGACAAATCTTTGAAGGATGGTTCTGGGAAAAAATCTTGCTTGCTACATCTCCAGTAACTCTTTCTTGGCGAGTCTTGAGCATCCATTGAAGTTATTGTTGGGTTCGAATTGTTATGGGGATATAGCAATGGCTGGTTTGTTTCCGTTGATGGTAGAATTTGAGTCATAACTATGGTTCAGCGTCAGTAGGAGTTGGAATACAATAGAAAAGGCATCGCTAGTTTCTCTGATAGAGTAGGAGTGCGGTCCGATTGATTTTTTCTTTGCCTGGCTCGTCAGACTTGGAATTAGAATTGATTTGAGGGAGGTGTGTTGTTACGAAGTGTGTTTGGTAGAAAAGCCATGTGAAACACGACAGGCCACCTCGAAGTAAAATCAAAAGCTTATGGAGTTAATTGTAAGTTAGTCCCACTAACTTTACAAAACAACTTTAATTAGTCTCTTAACCATATGCGTAATTCAATATTACTTTATTTCAAAAAATTATTCTTTTCTCTTAAATCTTTTTCATATCATTTACTTTGTTTTTCCTTTTTAAAAAAAGAAAAAAATAATAAATTAAAAAAATAGCATGAATGGACAAAAAATAATTAATTAGTTTTCAAAACTAGATGAACTAATTTATATTTTACTTAAAACTTATGCTAATGAACATTCATGGTACATTATATATATATTTTTTACATTAAAAAAAACTTATGCTAATAATTAATTATATATATATAACACTCTGGATTTTGCATAAAAAAACTAGGAAAAAGACAAGATAAAAATAAAAATAAAAATAAAAATTGAGTTTGTGTTTGACAGTGATAAGGGATATAAGACACAATAAAATACAAAAAATAAAATAAAATTATTTTACCATTAATATTGGTGTGTATTTCATGTATTATCCATAGTTATTAAACTTGAATTGGCCCGATGAATCAACCCAAGACTCAATAGCTGAATAGGCTTGATTTTGTTAAAAGACTGACTGGTGAAATAACCCAGCAAAACCCGGTCGACCTAAACAAACCCGGATGTGACCTAGTGTGTTTTTTTTTAAATGTGGTTTTTCTCCTATATCTTTTTTTTATTTTTTTAGTTGATTATTAACACTTTTTAAAGTTTATTATATAAATATTAAAAAAATATTTTATTTTTTTAATATGAAATTTGAAACTCTTTCGTATATATACTATATATTTACAAGAAAAAAGTTATATTCTTTTGATGTGTGATTTGAAATCTTTTAGTATATATACTTTATGTTTCCAAGAAAATAATTATTTTTTCAATGTGAGATTTGAAACCTTCTCGTATATATATTCTATGTTTACTAGAAAAAAAATTATGTTTTTTCAATATACGATAAAAAAATGTTATTTAAATACTTCAATGGTTTTTCTCCTATATCTTTTTTTTATTTTTTTAGTTGATTATTAACACTTTTTAAAGTTTATTATATAAATATTAAAAAAATATTTTATTTTTTTAATATGAAATTTGAAACTCTTTCGTATATATACTATATATTTATAAGAAAAAAGTTATGTTTTTTTAATGTGTGATTTGAAATCTTTTAGTATATATACTTTATGTTTCCAAGAAAATAATTATTTTTTCAATGTGAGATTTGAAACCTTCTCGTATATATATTCTATGTTTACTAGAAAAAAAATTATGTTTTTTCAATATACGATAAAAAAATGTTATTTAAATACTTCAACTTAAAAAAATAACATAATATATTTTTAATGTGTGATTTGAAGCCCTTTAATATATATAAGAAAAAATTTATTTTTTCAATGTGAAATTTGTATATATACTATATATTTACAAGAAAAAAGTTATATTCTTTTGATGTGTGATTTGAAATCTTTTAGTATATATACTTTATGTTTCCAAGAAAATAATTATTTTTTCAATGTGAGATTTGAAACCTTCTCGTATATATATTCTATGTTTACTAGAAAAAAAATTATGTTTTTTCAATATACGATAAAAAAATGTTATTTAAATACTTCAACTTAAAAAAATAACATAATATATTTTTAATGTGTGATTTGAAGCCCTTTAATATATATAAGAAAAAATTTATTTTTTCAATGTGAAATTTAAAGTCATTTCATATATATACTTTATATTCACAAGAAAATAGTTAATTTGTTAATGTAAGATTTGAAACTTTTAGTATATATACTCTATGTTCCTAAGAAAAAATTTATTTTTTCAGTGTGGGATTTGAATCCTTTTTTATATATACTCTATGTTCACAAGAAAAAAATTTTATTTTTTCAGTGTGGGATTTGAACCCTTTCTTATATATACTCTATATTCACAAGAAAAAAAATAATATTTTTTAATGTGAAATAAAAAAACTTTGTTTGTTTAAATACTTCAACTTAAAAGGATAATATATTATCTTTTTATTGCGAGATAAAAAATTCTTTTAAACTTTATTGTTTATAACATGTATAGCCTATATTTATATGAATTTTTTTATAATTTTTTATATAAAATATTAAAATTTTAAATATTTTTTTTAATTTTTTTAAGTTGATCCGAGTTGACTTATAAATCCCAAGACCTGGCCCCTTGGCTTCATAATTTTTTATCTTTTATATATTTTTTTTAATTTTTCTAAGTTGATCCGAGTTGACCTATAAATCCCAAGACCTGGCCCCTTGGCTGGGTCAATCCCATGACCGGGTTTGATAACTATAATATTACCATTAAATTTGTAATGTTTTAAATAATAATATAGATTGTTATTTTCACTTTATTTTATAATAAGCATTAATTCTTCTTATTAACTTAATTAAAATAATAAAATTTCTCCACTCATCCAAATCATGTTAAAAAAATTTGTAAGAGTCTTAAAAGAGCGAATTCATTGCTAAAACGATAATGTAATTATATTATGATGGACTCTATCATTAAATTATTTCTATAAATATATTTAATATTGAATAAATAATTAAATCATTTATATGTCAATTTGAGAAGCAACATCCCAAGACAAATTAAGGCGAGCAATCTTGGGTCTGAACACGTTTCCTTCTTACGTAAGGATAGCTCAGTGCCAACTGCAGCTATTTTGACATTAATTGATGCTATAGGTTATCTTAATTGCTGCATATTAACTGGAATAATGATTTATGTGCTTCTTGATATCAATTAGTGATGAAAATGGTGAAGCAGCATCGTGTTCATCTGAAATAATTAGTGATTCATGTTTTCCAGTTCCTATGCAATTCCTCTAGAATGACCTTCTGTCACTGAACTTTCTTCTTCATAATACAAAAAGGTTTTGGACTCATTGTCAATAATTACTGAAACAATTGGCATGTAATAATGCTTTTTACAGCATACATTCCTAATGGCTCAGAAGCAACAATGGGAGATATAAACATGTCCTTCTGATATAGGTCCCAACAAATATTACAGATGCTAATGTAAGTTCTCTCTCTCTCTCTCTCTCTCTCTCTCTCTCTGGGTGAGAAAAGTACCACAATTTCGTTGAATATTTTTCTCAGACTTGAGTGATAAATTCTGGATGCTTGAATAAGCAAAGCTACGTGAAGAATGCTGAAAACAAAGGGAAATTGGTAGCTAACAACTGGAACTTCAAATACGTAAGAAATAGAGCATAACAAATGGAAATAACATGCAACAGGAAAACACAAACACGTAAAACACAAACACATATCAACAATGATATGAAACTCTCAACTGCAAAAGATAATATCAACTATGATATGAAACTCTCAACTGCAAAAGATCCAGCATTCTTCTTGTTCTCCACTTGCCCATGACTGCAACGGTCTTCATTCACGTCCACTTCATCCATCCCTGCATCCGTTAGCTTTTATATCAGATTCCCATGCTGCAACCTCTGGCCTCGACAGCTACTTTCTCTGTTTCCTTTTTTCAATGTTTGCTCGATACTAATATTCTTTATGCGTTGCAGGACTAATGAGTACTCCATTATTATTTATATCTGTATATTTATCTGATATATATATATATTTGTAAACAAAACAAAAATCCTCTCTAATTATCATGATTTGTAAGCTAAATTTGGCTAGTACGGTATCTTTTGAAATTTCATTTGAAACAGCATTTTATAATAATTTGAATTTTTTATTTAAAATTAATGTTTTTATATTTTCAGATTTTTTTGATGTGTTAATATAAAAAATTATTTTTAAAAAATAAAAATATATTGTTTTGATATATTTACTATTCTTATTTACATTTCTAAATACTCTCCAAATCTGTATGATTTTTAACATCAATATTATTCATATTTTTTTGGATAATTGTCATTTCCCAGTTACCAATTAAATGAGTACATTTATGGAAACAATGGCACTCAATTGCTTAACTTTATTTTAATTATAGTGCCATTTATATACATTTTTAAACACAAAATAAACCATCTCTTACCGTAAATAGGTAAACTTTTATAATTACTGGTTTAGCTATTAATGGATCGGATTTTAACCCCAATTTAATCCAATTTTGATGTAATTAAATGAATGTGGTTTACAATTTTTATGACTCGAGTTTGCTAACCCATGGATCAAATGTGGATCTATCTTAATCTGGTTTGCTAATAATCTGATCCAAAATTAATATCAATATTATTTATACAAATATGATATTAAAAAAACATAAATATAAAAAGATAACAAAAAACATGACTATGGATTTAGATTCAGGGTTTTTTTTCTTACTCTAAATACTAAATAACACTATATATTTATGCTCTTCTTTTCTCCATATTGATGGCTATTGTTGCAAAATATCACATGATAAGTTTTTTATTCATCCTTTTCAAATCCCGAATTAACTTGGTAAAAAACCTTATAAAAATATGACAATAATTCATAAGTTGTTGCTAGTATTGTACATGTATTTATAATTTATAATTTATAATGTCTTGATCCAATTTTGAATTTCTGTCCATCTCGAACTTGTTCTTTATAAAATACTAAAATGTTTCTTTCATACCATTCAAGTTGTGCATAGAGTAGGCATTTTTATCATTTTCCTTTAGCTTTGTCGTAATAATTGTCTAATTTAAATTAATAATGGCATTTAATTTAATTTTTTAATAAGAACATTTGATTATGCAGCATGATTTTGAATGTAGCTAACACTTTTTCTTTAAAAAAAAAATCAATGGTAAGTCTGATGGATATTTAAAATCTGATACGAATTCATAAGATCCAATTCAAGAATTTAGATTTATTATAATCTAATCCAAATCAAATTGATTGACAATCTCAAATTTTAAAAAAAATTTTTGTTTAAAATGAATTTTTTTTATTTTTTGAGATTATTTTGTTATGTTGATGTCAAAAGTAATTTTTTTA